TAGAATTCTAAATTAAAGAAGTAGTCCATCTTTCAAAGTAAAGTTGAAATTTGATTTCAAAAGAATACACAAAGTCCTCCTCCACAAATTACTTTGATCAATTTAAAGCGCCCTACATGTTTCGGCGCTAGAAGACCTCTTCATCAGGGGCTATCGCTCACATATTACAAGGTATTTTAGGTCGCTAGACTCCGCATTTGGCAGAGGAAAAGGAACAGAAAGTTGAAACATTGAAAAGTTAAGACATTAAAAAAGACAAATGTGAAAAAAATCAAAAAATTAATAGATTAATTGTATATATAATTTTATTTTTTCTTTAATTTTTAATAATAATTGACTTCACTACGTAATATTTTGTCAATTATTATTTTTATATCGCGAAACAACTCCATGGTTGTGTGTTATCTACAAAATGGTCAAGGAACTACAAATTTTAACCCCAGGCAGCCTGTTTTTCCTCCAATAATACGGCGTCTATTTCTTTATTTTCCACTATGACTCTGTGCTGAGCTACCATCTGGACCAGGAACATTTTCTCTCGGTGTACTTGGTCGCCATAATTACTTGTGCATGAATTTCACAAAAAAATCACTATTTCTACAGCTATATAGCTTGTTAATATATGATTCTATGCGAAAGAGTATTGAACCATATATCAACAATGACAACCTAATGACAAACAATACACATTTCGTAGAAAGCGGTGTTGTCAGCTGCAAAACTTAAGACGAGGCTTCCTTCAATAAGAATTCTTTAATTCGCAACTATGAAACGCCAAAGTCACAAACCACAAAGGAGTCCTTATTCAAGGCGACCTTCAAGTCGCAAGGAGTCCTTAATTTGAGGTGTGACTGAGAATACGGGCCTTTAGCCTCCTCACTTGAAATAGTCACGAGCCGCTACTGGCCATAGTGCAGAGAGAGATGCAAATCCCTCTTGTTTGTTGTTCTTCCTGGCACAAACCCTCGCGTAGAAACAATTATGCAGCCGCCTTTCCAGTGTGTTTGTTTAGTTCATTGATAATTTTAGAAGGTTTGACAATTTTGAAGGTACTAATAGGTAAGTATACTTTAAAAACTAAATGTCACTAAAAATCATTGAAGCATGAGCTTCATTCGTCAACGATTTTGCATGCGAGAATAATGACATTCTCTCACCAAAATTGAGAAACTTGTTTTTCCTATTTGGTAGTACCCCAACGAACTGATTTTTGGTCGGCCTATAGTGATAATACAGCTAAATGTGGTTTAGTGCCGTATCCAAATCTTAGATGGCGCCATGACCAAAAGTCTCCCATCATTTGAATGTGTAATCAAAAGAAAGAAATAGATAGTTTATGTAGTAAAACTCCGCTACACCTGAGGACAATTGATGGGTTTGGAAGAAGCCATGATACTTCGTAACTGGTAAGTCCGATGATGTATATAATTGATCATGTTTCTGATTATGGTTTCATTCAGTTGATATGATCCCATACGTTATCCAACAAGTTAGCGTTTGTCAATAGTATATTGTGCAACAAGTGTTGAAAGTGCTTTTCACATGCGTTACACACTATACTTTTTCTACGACTGCGAAATAACTAATTTTTTTCTTTGTCAAAGAATTATTATTTAAGGTTATAATAAGCGATCAATTTTGATACGTACGCAGAATACACTCGGAGTTGCTTGCAGAACAAAAATTCAGTGGAAGTGTCATTTTTATTTTAGCGTGCGCGAAAAGTACTTTTCGCACGGATGGAGAGTGTGAAAAGTACTTTCAGCACGCTGTGCGGAATAATTGATTTTCTAGATAAGTTAGTATCTAGTGCATTTTTAATAGCTTTCTAAAGTATTCGTGAAAAAAATATATATTCCAACCGGTGCTTTTTCCAAGGTCCACAAGGCACAAACTGACTGGTAGTATCATATTCAGTGAGCACGTGGAACGCAGGAAGATTTTTAACCAAGATAAGGTCCAACTGTATTTCATGCGCGGATATAAAACGAACTTTTTGTTTCTGTTCTCATTCAAACTTCTTTTGTCGATTGAATTTTGAAGTGTTATAACAGTAAATTCAACATTTTCTAGATATTGCGAAGTTAAGGTGAGCGAATACTACACTGAGAAAATCCCGCCAACTAAACTGTTTAGTTACTGTTTTTTTAGTTCTGGTAATTAAAAATGATCGAAAATGTAATTGTAGTAACAAAACATGGTTATTTACTGCAGCAATTTTTTCTATTTTTCCTCAATAGTTGTGATTAATATACTCTTATTAGTAGCAATTGGAAACATTTGTTGTTTATTCAGTTTTACTAAAATTCTTTGCTGGGATAACAGAGGTCCCTTCTGGGTTTAATAACTTCAAGTCTTGAGTTATAACTAAAATTACTCGTACTGTGAAAAAGATTATTATTACCCACAACAATTTTTTGTTTAGCTTTTACTAAAATGTTTAGTTAAATCTTGTTTTCGGGTAACCTCGGTTCATTCGGTCGAGCATTTCTTTCCGAATTCTTTTCAGTTCCAATATTCATCACGCACAACTCACAAGTCACCGTACGTTGTTGCACGTCAATGTTGACGAATATCAACGACGACAGCAACTAACTAGCAAGAGCAAGAAAATATTAACTAACTAGCAAGAGCAAGAAAATATTACCTATAAATAAATAAGTAATTATTATTTTTTATGCGTGATTTGTGATTGATGCTTTTTTATTGCATAGCCAGGTGGGGACATGACGTACAAGGTATTATTGCTAGAGTGGGGATTGGAATCGTTTTCCGATTTATTTGAGGGTGAGTTTGAATTGTTAGGTAACCAATAATAATATACGTTATTTGAGGCAGATTTACGGCTTACGCAGCTCTCAAGCCAAATGCATAATGGATCATTCTGGTGTTAGTATGCATAATTCAACTTCTTCGTCTCCTTCTGTGCAACAGAAAAAAGTGTTTTTATGTGCATATAAATTCAGAAGCCTAAAGCAAAAGAGACAGTATATAAGTACCTACACCAATAACCTATTAGATATTACCTATAGGTACCTTTGCTTCCGTATGTATTGTGTATTATTATTTATCTTGACTTTGAAAGTAAAGAAGCTTGCTAGAAATATAAGTTTGTTGTATTTTCTTAAGTTGTTTTCATAAGAATTTATTTTTGAAGAATACCTATTTATTTATTTTTGGTAAACTACATTGCCAAGGTTGCTAATTTTTCTACGACCATAGAAAAGTTTATTTTTTTGTTGGTGATTTGAGATGTGATCTAGCAATAGTTTAACACGTGATGCCTTAACTACTAGACCGTCAAATAATGACAGATTACAAATGTAAATTTTTTTCGAATAATTTTTTTTTCAAAACTGTCTATTTGTTTATACTGTCTTAATTTCCAATAAGTTATACCTAGTATTCTACCCAGCCAGCAGTTAGAAAAACAAAATAAGTACATGAAAATTTATATAGAATTAATAAAAAAGACAAAATTGTCCATTGAAATCGCTTTTGTTTGAATTGAGAAAAAGAGTTAGTTGAACAACAACATAAATACCTCAGTATATAAATATCAAAAGGACTATGATTAAAAATAATTTTAAATTATAGTTAAAGTTGAAGTGCTTTATGCACCTGTAAAATATTTTCTTACTATAATTTAAAATTATTTTGTAATCATAGTCGTTGCGAGATCTATATACTGCAGGTATTTAGGTTGTTTTTCAACTAACCCAATTTTTTAATTCTAACAAAAGCGATTTGTAATGATAACTAAGTTATTATTAGCCACAAGTAAATAAGTTTTTCAATACAACAACATTTGTTTGCAACGGCAACTAAGTTGTTTTTAGCCACAACTAATTATGTTTTTCATTACAACAATATTATTTGCAATGACAACTAAGTTATTTTTAGCCAAAACTAAAGTCTAGTTGGTTGTAACTGAACTTTTTAGTTGTGATGAAAAAAACTAGTTACTAACTGCAACTAGTTCTAATTAGTTACAGCAATAAGATACTCGACCAATTAACTAAATTTATTTATTTGCGACGACTATGCGTTCTAGTAGATAAATTTTAGTTGTCGCAACAAATTTGGCTAGCTGTCCCCTATTTTTTGCTGCCATAATTAATTTTTTAGTAATGGCTACAAGTTTTTTTCTCAGTGTAAATCATTAAGACACTTTTTACGAGGAAGCGGTACCGTCGCCCGTTTAACTACGTGCTTTTGGCGCACATAAACTTATTTTTTTTTCATTGTGGACATCGGCCACAAGTGATGATCCTACTCATATGAAAATAATCACGACGTTCGATTGATTAACCTATGAAAATGAGAAAAGTGTTATTTTCTACATTTCATCCTCTACAACCAGCCTGTACCGGAAGAATCTTTAACAACCAGCGGATTTAGCTTAAATTGGAGTTAAGGGATCGTTTTAAAAAAAAAATCAGCTTTTAATAAGACAATGCAAACAGAAATCGTTTCCATACGACTTTTAGGTGACCGTGCACTCTACTATATAGAGTATATAGTACAGCAGAACCACATCCTTTCATTTTTCCTCTCCGCTTTTATGAGATTATCGGCAACCTTGTGAACAGAGTCACTTTTTTCTCACCTTCTCACTCCACTCTCTCATTTCTATTTTTTCGCTTTTTGTCTTTAAGCAAACCAATTAAAGAATTTAGTTTTTCGGAAGAAATTCATATTTTTTCTTGTGATTAACAAGGAATGGATAAATTAAATATATTTATGTATGTAGGTTCAAACAAAAAAACACTACAGTCTATTTTTTCCCAAGATAGATTTTGACATTGAAAACTTTGAAACATTGGTCGCAAAATGGGGTGTGCCTACAGGTTGACATCAGTTTTACAATGCATGTCGTGCAAATGGCATTTCACGACCAATAAGCGGCATTAGCGGCATTGTTTATGTTTCAAAGTTGACAGTGTCAAAATCTATCTTGGGAAAAAATAAACTGCATTGTGTTTTTATAGTATTAATATCTAATAATCAGGCACCCAAGGACCGCTGAGAGTAATTCCTGGATGATTAGCTCTATTATTGCAATAGTCCTCATTACACTCCTCACAATGGAATACTTCAACCCTGTCATCCCAAGCATCATATAAATCTTTTTTAATTTTGTCACATCCTTTTTGATCATTGCAACCTCTTCTGTACCTATAAAAATACACATTTTTTCATATGATACATTTGGATTTATGAAAGCTACATGATAATCCATGAAAAAATATGATTGGATAGAAAAGAGAATTAGAAAATATTACCTTCCAAAAAATTCTTCGGCCAATGAGTTCTTATATTTATTTTGAATTTTAGCCTCATACGTGACACAGCCAAAACGACATTTATCCATGATTCGCCAACCTATACCTTCGCAATTGCCATACCTACTATCGTCATTGCAGAAGTAACATTTTGTGGCCTCTAAAAAACAAATAATTATTTCGCAACAGAAAAATTAAAAACAAAAAGGTTTAATGGATTTTTTTTTTTAATTATTGCTACCCCCATTTGCTGCGCAGTCGTACTCAAAAAATTGCGCGTGTTTTAAAGACTATTACCATTACCCTATTACCTATAATATCCACTCATGGTAGGGTTTTTGGGAATGCCCGATTCAATGGTGGTATTTGCAATGTTGTCAAGTTTATCATTTCTAAGATGCTGTATGTAACTCAATTTTTTTAAATGAAAGTCCCTCTTTATTCTTATTGTAATTAATTCAGTGCCCCAACATTACTGAAGCCCCTAAATGCCGAACCTCGATTTGACTTGGTTTTTGAAGCATGGCAACACTTTTTTTTTAAGAAACGGTATTTCAAGAGGCTTCAGAAAAATCTTATGAATGCCAAGGATAAGGCGTAGGTATTCAAAATTTATAGGGGGGTTAGTAAGCCCAGGTAGCAAATACAGGGTGTCCCAGCCGAGAGTGATCTATTTCACATGCTTATAACTTTAAAACCAGGTGAGCTAGTCACCTGCGGTTTGCGCCTGTCGATTTCTCTTGGCCTAAAGTTTTTTTCAGTAGGTTACACATTTTTTTCACTCTTATACAGGGCGATTAAAAAAATCTGTTTTTGAACATCAAAATTATCCACTATTTTTAATGGAACACCCTGTATATCACAACGTCGGAAAAAGACTCGTATGTTCCAGGTATTCATGTATCAATAAATATTCTACTTGAAACTTGAACTTTCAGCTGTGAGAAATCAAAATCAAAGTTCTGGTATTTTGGCGGGGACATGCACCCTGTATTTCTGAGGATTGTTTATATCCACCACCTATATGGACAGAAGTAACTTCGGATTTGCATGGAACAACGAATGCATGTGAGTCGTACCATTCAGATTTGAATGCTAACTTCATAACCACTCGAATAAGTGTAGAAAATTTGTTAAAAAATATACACTTCAAATGAGTGATATTTTTTTTTTTGTCACATAGTATATATCTTCTTGAAGGTAGAATAATTGAATAGGTACCTAATAAAAACATAGTAACATTATTTCTCTTACCAATTACAGCGACCAATGAAATGACGCAAAACAAAATTTTCATAAGCATGATGAAAAACGAATTATTTATAGATTTAAATATTGCTTCGCCTTTTATACATTTTTTTTTAGACTAATTTCGCTATACTCATTAAAATATTGCTATCATTTTTCATATGCACATTATCAGACACAACTATTATATTTTTATATTATAATTATGTACATTATCAGTAAATATTTGAAAATTAGACAAAATTAAAAGAGAGAAAAAAATAAAATAAAATAGGTAAAGAACTGGAGTAAAAAACACAGTCTATCTTCACTGGGGTGTATACATCAAAAAACTATATAGGGAAATATGGTCATATACGATATGCCTAAGCATTAATAGTTACCCAGCAAACATCGAATCATCCCATAGAAGTATTAAAGACAGTGACGCTTTAACCTTTCTCAGGCTCGTAGGTCAATTATTTGGCATGGCCTTTCATGAGTGATTGTTCTTTTTTATAAGGTTTAATAAAATAATTTGGACGATTTCAAACTACTAACCTGGCAAAATATGGAGACAAAAAATGTTGCCAAGTAGTATTCGGTGAAATCAAAGAAAGGTAGGTACTACAAAATGATGGAACAAGAATGGTCACAAAACATGCTATATGGTCAGAACGTCCCAAAAGAAGATTATGGCATTGAGCTCCCAGTCTACCAATCACCACATATGGATGCTGGGGACTAAGTGTACTGATGGGTGTTTCAGAAGAACAGCTGCATGGCTTCGGATCAAATCCATTAGCGAGGAAAAGATGCATAAAGGCCAAAACTCACTAGCAACACGCCACGCCACCCCACGCCATGTGACACAGGTTCACGTGGGACAGTTTGTACGCAAATGGACGGATGGCGTGGCGTGCCATGTCGTGGTATCGCGTATGGCAAGTGTGTACGCAGCACATATAAATAAATGGAAGAATATACGCATACATTTTCGTCACATGACGTGGCGTGGCGAAGCATGACGTGGCGTGTTGCTAGTGGGTTTCGGCCTTAAGGGTTGCAACTCTGAGGAAAATTCGTACCACGTTGCCTGTGCATGTCCTACAAGCTCAACAACAAGGCACGAATTCGTGGTACACTGGACCCTTAAGGTAATACTCGAGTCCCTAGATGCTCCAGAAGAAGCTCAAAGAAACTTACAATTTGACAAAGCAGCGCAATAACTAACAGATTGTAGCAAAACGCCCCAAGTACCTACTTTATTTAAATTGTTAGATGGTAAATGGCGAGCGGTATATTGAAGGTGTTATTATATACTTGGAGTTGCTATCTAAAATCTGTGGAAGAGGGTCTATTTGCAAGAGAGAGAGAGAGAAAATAGGGTACTTGCATGTAAAATTGAATTGATTATTGTTTATCGCAAACTGTATGAAATCTAAAAAAAATCGTTAAGTACTTTTTTTCATTTCGCCCAAATATGATTATTCCGGAGGTTATACAAATATTAAGTTTTGTATATATAGATATACTGAGCATGTGCGACGTCACTAATTTATATGATAAGTGACGTCATAGGCATATTTCATAGCGTTGTATCTCCGTCAATTTTTGACTAAGAAGAAAAAGAAAAAACACGTGTTGACTTATTTTTCATGGACTATCGAAATCAGCAATAAAAAAATTTGATGCAAGTAGCCTATTAGAGAATTTAGTTTTTCGGAAGAAATTCATATTTTTTCTTGTAATTAACAAGGAATGGATAAATTAAAGGAACTGTCTAGAGTCCCGAACGAGGGATCGTTAGAAAAACGGAAAATCCCGAAAAGGCGTGGCTGAATAACTGCGTTCGGGACTTTTCGAAAATTATTCTAATCCCGACTTCGGGACCATGGTAACAAAAGGTAACTCCCGAATTTATAATATTTTTTTATGTATTATTTGTTTTTCCTATACACCTAGGTTAGATTACCCAACTGCTGTGTTTTGGGCAGTTTTGACTGAAAATTTGTATCCTTTATTATGGGTTTAAACACAAATGACACATTTATTGGTTCATAGTTCATATAAAGAATTACAAGATGCTATTGATATATGAGAAAGAAAATAGGGTGCAATTTTCGAAACGGGATGCAAAAGTAACACATCCGCGAAGCACCATGCCCCTAATTTATACAAGATAGTTAAAAATAAACCTGATATAAGATAAAAATATTAAATAATCCCTTATCATGAACAAGTTGTTTTTGATAGGTACCCCTATCGAGACTTATGAGATTCAGGCATAGGCGCCGGAACCATGGGGTCAATGGGGGCACAAGCCCCCATAGTGATTTTGGTATTTTGTAGTGGGTGTAGGGGGTAGGTATGGAAAAATATTCAGTTCCTTTTATATCAGCTTGTGAGTTTTATGCTTTTGTTGTTTTTCCCATATCTACTTTAAGAAACAGTTCGAATATTTTGTTGTGTAGTACCTACATATTTCAACTGATTTTCAATAATTCGTTGCATCATCATCATATCACATGAATAGGTATATCATGATGTACCAATACACTGACTTTTTTTACCTAGTTTATCATCATTTATATACAGACCGGACCAACCTATTAGACACATAGGGAGTATTAACATGAATTAGCTTGTACCTGGTTAAGGCGAATCGAATCGGTGCTGCCCACTGGCGTTGCCAAGGAGAGGGATAAAGGGGCATTTGCCCCCTTCCCCCAAAGGCCTTAAAATTTTAGTATTATTATAAAGAATTCAATTTAAAATTAAAATAAACAAAAAAAACAATTCAAGTCCTAGGTAAATAATCAAATACATACATAGGATATTATAAAATATTTGGCTTGATTTTCTTTGCTTTTCCATCCATAGACGCGTTTCGACCTATCAGGTCTCATCAGTATGGCTAGGAAAAGCAAAGAAAACCAAACCAAGTTTCGTGCCTGTAGGCAATATACACATAGTACAATGGTCGAAATTTGATCGTGGCGCCATCTAAGACAAAGCTTCAACACCAAACAGCAATTTTCGCTGAAATATGGTGACTGAGTATCTAATCGGCCGACCAAAATTCAGTTCGTGGGAAAACCCAGAATAGGAAAACCTATTATCCACTGATGAGAAAATATTTGGCTTGATTTTCTTTGCTTTTCCATCCATAGACGCGTTTCGACCTATCAGGTCTCATCAGTATGGCTAGAAAAAGCAAAGAAAACCAAACCAAGTTTCGTGCCTGTAGGCAATATACACATAGTACAACGGTCGAAATTTGATCGTGGCGCCATCTAAGACAAAGCTTCAACACCAAACAGCAATTTTCGCTGCAATATGGTGACTGAGTATCTAATCGGCCGTTTTCTGGGTTTTCCCACGAACTGAATTTTGGTCGGCCGGTCAAAGTTATATGTAAACACAACAGGTTGGAACACGCTCACGCACTATAAATGATCGAAAGCCCTGGTTTCGTAGCTTTGAATCGTCTACGGCAAGGATAGTTACTTACGCACCTGTATTTAGGTGATATGTGCCAGGGTGTCAATTAATTTGAAAAGTAGCAATCGGGAATATCTCTTAGGCAAAAAATACTCAAGATCTCAAAAATGTATCGGGGGAATTGGGGGCTTGGACGGGGGACCAAAATGCACTTTTTGAGCCATCCCGTCACCCCTTATGGCAGTGGTTCCCAAACTGGGGGGCGCGCCCCCCTTGGGAGGCGTGAAGCAACAACAAAGGGGGCGTAAGTCGTCTAAAAATTAATACAAATTTTGAGCTTTAAAATAAAAAATCGGTTGAAATTTAAAAAAAGATGTCTACAATCTGGCAACAGCGCATACCTTAGCCAAAGCAGCTTTGCAATGCGATCATTGATACAGCGTACGCTCGCTGCCCACTGTCATGCCAATTCCTCCTCTTCTAAAGTCCAGTTCAGACGAGTTACAGTGAGTAAAATGTATAATGGGGAAAAGAAGGGGGGCGCGATCACTTCTTGATTTCAGAAAGGGGGCGCAAAAGAAAAAAGTTTGGGAACCGCTGCCTTATGGGGTAGCTACGCTACCTTTATTTTTTTTTCAATATACAAACCTACCTTTGTGCTGCATATCGTTGGATAGCTCGTTGCTTTCCCTTCACAGTCTTATAGCAAAATCTAAATCGTACGATTAGGCAGGGCGACAAAAAGTGCCTCATTTTGATTCCCCCTCCAATCCCTCGATACGTATTTGAGATTTTTCTGATAGTATTTTTTGTCTGCGAGATATTCCCGATTCCTATTCTTTTCCTATTCAATTTCAAATTGTCTCCCTGTATACCTAAGTATCTCCGAATTGGTGATTTTCTAGATGCTTTAGAAAAAATGTTTTAAGTTTTTTTTATACATTTATGTATGCTGATTTTTCAGACTCTGAAGTGCCCTTTTTTATCGATGAAAAATGATTTTGACCCCCCCTATATATTTTTTTTCTGCGGGCGCCCCTGGGGAACAATCCATGATTCAGCGTGGAGCGTGGCGATCTTGCAGCGAAATGGGTACTTGTCAACTGGTTCCATTCAAGCCTATGTGTCTAGTAGCCTAGTCCTGTCTGTGCAATCAATTCTACTTATGTTATTTTTGGAGCCCGAGCCCCCATAGAAATTTCGAAGTTCCGGCGCCTATGGATTCAGGACTATGATGAACAAGAGCAGCAGTTTGAAAATTATGAAATAATCCCTAATCAGGAACAAGTCGTTGATACCCCTATCGAGACTTATGAGATACACATGGACTATGATAAACAAGATCAGCAGTTGGAAAATTCTAAGATAATAATAATTATTAACAGATCTACAAAATAAGATGTCAAAGTTTCTTTTCCATTTTGTTAACCTACTAGAAATACACGATATTTGTTTTCTGCTACTTCCTTGTTTTTCTATTGATTGTCTTATAAAATTAAAAGTCGGGAGTTTACTTCTGTTGCAACAGTACCAATGTCGGGATGCGCCTAATGTTTGGAAAGTCCCGAACGCCGTTATTAAGCCACGCCTCTTCGGGATTTTGCTTTTTTCCAGCGATCCCGCGTTCGGGAC